AACCGACAAATTGCGATGTCGAAAAAGATACATAAGTGACCTATAGCTATCACCTGAAAATTATTTTCACAATTAACATCTGCATTAAAACAAACAAGTTAAAACTTACCTATAGCCCAATATCGTAAAGTTATAATAAGGCGTTCTTTTCGTGTAATAGCTTGTCCCATTCGAGTATCTTGTTTCCGGATTCGCGGACTTACTTTTTCTAAGATGTAGTTAAAATCCACTTTTTCCAAACGCAGAAAATTTTTAAAGTGCTACTCGTCTTTAGCATGCAATTCAGTAAGTAAATTATTGAATGCACCCAACTGTTCGCGCTGTCTAATCCATTCCCTGATCCACACTCTTGTTTTTTTTTTCTCGCCGCTTTTCGTTTGCCGCCAAAATCACATATAAATATACCGCTGCTAACACTGTCTCGTCATCCATTTAAAAAAAAAACGCAACCGTCTCTCAAAAAGTACACACACGATACCTCGAGCCATGGGTGGTGTACTGTTGAATGTTGCCCCTCCAATGTTGCAAAAGTAGCGCTTTGCTGTGAACATAAAAGCACTTAGTGTCGACCTACAACTTTTTTAGGCAGCTGCTGCATAAAAACTGCGCATTTTGGGCAACATTCTGCTGATGTATGAAGACTGTATGCAACTTTTGCAGCGGCTGCAAAAAAAATGCGCAACAAAAGTAGCTGTGTCTGATACTACCTAAGGCGGGTTTTGTTGCAGTATAATCTATATTGTGGATTTTTATACAATATGATCAAGAAAAAACGGCGCACAGTAGGCAATATGTCCAAACCAAGTTGCAAAAAATAACATCCACAGTTAGCATTTATGGCAATAGCATTAGATTGGAAACATATTAGTTAAGAGGAAACCACATAAAACTAACAAAAAACATATTCGGAGTCTCTTTCGAGGGGCTGTAAAACGAACTTTGCGCAAAACCTACATTTTCAGTTAATTTGTGTTCAATAACTGCCTTTTTTCTACAATTTTTTAAATAGTAGGCGTTGCATTCAAGTGACACAGTATTATAACAATTGAATCGGACGACCTTAGCTTACTGTCAATAATTATTGTAAAATTGTCATAACGTGTTTTACGTAGATTCCCGGTTGCGGTAAATTTAATGTGAAGGTAAGTAAAAAGTATCTTTTATTTTGATTTTTTGGATAAAAACTAGTTAAAGGTCAAAGTAGAACATAATCATTTAAGGTTTTTTTGATAGTGGCATATATTCTATCTTAGAAAAGTTAAGTCAAAAAAATCGCAAAAAATCGCAACATTAAATTTATTGGAAGCGTAAGCCTCCATGCGTATGTATATAGTAACATCCTTTATGTGGATAATTCCCATAAATTAATTGTTATAGTAGCTAGAGCTAGAGAAGAACTTGAAATATAAAGTTACGTAACTTTTACGATTTCCGAAGAAGTATGTCATAAATGTCAAATGACATTTTTTGACAAATTGACAAATTTTGACTGTACCTAATTTTTTAAATTAAATAAAATGGATTTTTCTTTCAGATTTAAAAATGTGCACTTCGTGACCATTGCTTCCAGCTGTTATAAAAGAAAATATCAGTAAATAGTAGGTGGTAAAATAAAATTTAGATATTTTTAATAGGTATAAGTTCTGTTATTTTCTAAATCGTCATTGTCTAATTTTCAGAATATTGTTACTTATTTAAAATGTAATAATAAAATATTGTTCACATATTTTCTGGTATTATTAGAGACCTTAGAACTTATTCAAATGTCAAACAATCTTGAATAGAAGTTCGATTGGATTAGTATACTAGGGTTTTCTTTTATACATTGACACCCCCTTTATCTTTTTTATTTGACGTTTCCGAAAACTGTCTCAAATGAAAGTAGTTTTGAATAAATTTGCCAAAAAAGTATATTTCGCATATACAAAGTGCTTCAAAAAGTCGGGGCGTGGTTCACCTATCTTATTTCAAATTAGGTATAGGCTATGCTACAAAAAAGTAGTTAGGATTTTTAGGAGAAAATAAAAATAAAATAAAAAATTGGGTACTAATTTGAAATAAGAAAGTTGGGCCACACACAGGATTTCTAAGGCACCCTGTTTATGCAAAGAAGACTGTTTTGAAAAATGTATTCGAGACCATTAAACTTTTATTCAAGACACTTTTTTCGAAAACGTCGAATAAAAAAGATACAGAGGATGTCAATATATAAAACAAACCCTGTACATGGCGGAAGAGCAATAATTGCTCAATATTTGTCTGTTTCATCTTGGCTCTGCCAAAAATCGTAAAATTTAGTCAAATGTAAAATATTCTTACCGCATTTTGGTAGCTGTATTAGTCAAAAGATGATTTTTCCATTTTATGAATCCCCTCCACCACCCCCAACCACTCTCAAGTCAGCCAAAACTAACAGGGTTCACGGCCTACGGGCATACAATGTTTTTACCAAATTTGAATAAAATCGAACAAAAAAAGAATTTTTGCAACATACTTCTGGATTTTTGCTCACTGTGCGGCATCAGCAATGACTATAAATGAAGAACGCTGTCATTTTATACACAAAAAATGATTTTCCCATATAAATTTACATAAATTTATATGGGAAATATCATCGATTGTCATTTCCTAGCCAACTGGACGCCGTATTTTTCGATCGTACGGTATTTGCGTCCTAACTTGATTTATTAAATATACTATTTTATTAACATTAAGTAAGGATGTGAAAAGACGTCAGTAGTAATATTATACTTGTGTAAAAAGCTTATGAAAAAATGCGAGATTTGTAACAATAATAACAATTTTGCTGCAGTAACGGAATTTGCAGTTAATTTTATATAGGAATAGGCGACCTTTACTGCAGCTTGGGATTTTGTTTATGCATCTAGGTCCAATATTAATATATGTCATTAGGTCATTTTTTTTTAAATGCATAAGGCGGGTTTTGCAACTTGACGCCTCAATTGAAAGAAAAAAATGTTCATAATATGGTTACTACGGGATATTTCCTAGTTCTTCTTTCTTGTGAATTTAACCTACTGAGTAAATTCACAAGTAAGAAAACCACTGAAAAATCCCATGGTTCTCAAAATTCAAGCAAAATATTTTTTTAATTTTTTATTTTCAGAGTAAAATAACTCGATTATGTTGGACTTCAGACACTCAGATGCAAAAAAACGCAACGGAAAAATTTCTGGTCAAATTTAGTGTATTATATTTTTGTTACTTTTAGCCCTATTTTCATGAATTTTTTAGCAAGCTGTATATAATTATATCAACTTTAATTCGTAAACTCAGTTTTTTATAAACTTTGGTATTTGGCATATTATACAGAGTTAATCGAGGGGATGTTTTTTACCTAAACTTTCAAACACCCTGTGCAATAATTTTGTTTGTAAATTTCCCTAAAATATAATGTTACGATCAGAACAATGTCTCCTCTGCATTTTCTTTTTTGGATCATGTCAATACATGCCTTGGTTAATTTTTAAGAGCGAAATGAACTTGCCACCAACCATTTTCAATTTTTCAATTATCATTTCTTTTTGGAGTTATTTTTCAATATTATAAGGTGGATTTGGTGATTATTGTGAACTATATACTACTTCGAACTACCCATCATGTCCGACGTTTGGGAAATGCTTGGCAGGAGGTTTAGAGGTCACGAAGCAGTACCAGCTTCATTAAATGAACTTCGCTTGGTTCTTAAAGAAGAATGAAAAAGCATAACGCACTATGATATATGCAGCCTCCATGACAATATGAACGGACGTATGCAGGCAGTTATAGCAGCCAAGAGAGGCAATACAAAGTATTAGGGTATTTTTTACATTTTTTTTTCTGTTTGTATACTCGAGTATTAGAGATATTTTTTTAAATGTTTTTTTAAAATTTTTTTTAATTTAAACCAGGTCTGTATTGTTACTCTTTAACGTTTTTTTATTATTTAGGAATAGAGTATCCAATGCAGCGTAATATGACGTTACGACACCAAATACATCTCGTCATATTAAAAAATTACATCAAAATGTAATGATAACTGGAAAAAATTGCAAACTGATCGTGATCAGTTCATTTCGCTCTTAAAAATTAACCAACGCATGTATTAACATGAATCAGAAAAGAATATGCTCACAACTTGTGGTTCTGACCGTAAAATTATATTTTAGGGAAATTTACACATGAAATTATTGCACAGGGTGTTTTAATATTAGGGTAAAAAGCAACCCCCTCGATTAACCCTGTATAATATGCCAAATAATAAAGTTTATAAAAAACTTTTTATACGAACTTATTTACGAATTAAAGTTGTATACTTATATACAGTTTGCTAAAAAATCATGAAAGTAGGGCTAAAAATAACAAAAATATTACATTTTAAATTTGACTAAAAATTTCTCCGTTACGTTTTTTGCATCTTAGTGTAGAACATCTCATAGAAAAAAGGACCATGGATTTTTTCTCCGATTTTTCTTTATTTTTATTCCATCAAATAAAAACAATTTGAAACAAATTTCCCAATCAATGTTAAATATTTCAGTTTTTCACTTCAAAAAATCAAACTAGAATCATAATTCATATATGTATGATTGGCCAATTATTGTAAACAAGCCGTTGTTCTCATTGCAAAGGATAACTTCAGTTAGTGATTACACTGATGTAGAACTACTACTTCAGTTAGTGAATACACTGACGTAGAATTTAATAAAATAAGGTATCTATATTAAGAATTAAAATATTTAGTTGGTTTTGAATTTAAAATTATTAAGAATTAAAATGTTTATTAAAATGATTCAGAACATTTCAAAATAAATATTCTGAACTACTAAGTTGTCCAAGTACGTAATGAGTAAGTCACGGCATTGATCAATATTGAACACACTTTTATAAAATCAACCTTTACAAATAACTTTCGAAAACACTAAACACTCTACAAAATAAAACAAAACAAAATAAACGCTACTAACTACAGTAAGTATATTAACGAGTATAATACTTACAATGAGGCAGTAAGCTGCCAGTAAGTCACATCCTCGTTGACCCAGGGATTAGATGGATGAGGAGGCACCAGTAAAGGGTCAAACTCCGTGTAAGTTTCGACGTGTTGAACGAGGTTTTCTAAGGCTTGAGATACTTTTATTCGTGTCCTGTATAAACTGGTCCTCAGTAGTTCCACCTGCAATAGTTGTTTCATTATATGAATATTATTCGCATACAGGGTGACAGCGAAATTCTACAATTTGATGGTACGTCAATACTTTGAGAAAGAACTTATGATATCATTCAAGAACATTTTAATCTAAAGCTATAGAAATATGTAAAAAAATAGAGGATGAGCATCTAAATATGCACAGTATTATCTACCCCTATATACCATCTAGCTAAGATATACCGTCCACCACATTTTACAATGCTTTTGTTTTCATTTTTGTTAACAATATATACAAGACAACCCAATAGTGGAAGCTTCAATGAACACAAAAACAATCCTCTATGGTGAATTTTATACGACTAGTCTTTAAACATGCGTCAAACACTGCTTCCAATGTTCGACGCATTGGCTTGGTTTGGTAAAACGTTACAAACATTTGAGACAAATATTGCAATAACTATATAAAATAAAATTAAATAACAAACCAATAACATTAAGAGGGCAGTTGATAAGTAATCTCGGAGCAGGTTTCTAGTTCAAGAAAACATCCTTTATGACAGAAAATGCAGATATAAATCTGACATCAGAGAACTTATGTATGGCATTTGAGGTTTGAGGGTGGATAAACAAGAGAAAATGAATGTCATGACAATAACATGTGGTACTGCATGGATGAAACAACTTTTGTAAACTTGTGAAAAGGTATAATTTATAATTGAAAACTTTTTTTGTAACTAAACTTATACTGTTTAACTTTTAATATTCAGGAATAAGCCACGTGAATAATACTTAAAGGGTGATATGGTCACTCTCTTTGGACAGACATTGTTAACCCAAGTAGAGCTGAGAAACATTGCGAAACAGTTTCAAAAAAATAAAAAATTTTTTTATTATGTGTGTTGTGAGTTCATTTGACATCATCTGTTCGATACAGTAGGTTTTATCATCTATATTGTTGATGATATGTTCTCAGTAATCATAAGATGTTTTTTGTGTTCAGGAACACTTTTCCAAATATGTTTCGGGCTACATATAGCTAAATACAAGTTTAAGATACACAGATAGTTCAGCATAATTTTAGGAAGACTTTTAAGATAACGACACACGTAGACTTCAGTCATGTATAGAGGGTTTCGTAGAGTTTATTTTGCCTGGAAATAAAGTTCCAATAATTTTTGATATTCCTGTCTCAAATACTGAAAACATAATTCTTACTTTATTGTTTGAATTTTATTCTGCAGCTTTTACAAAATGGGAAAGACAATATAAACATTCTTCAAGTTTTTAGGACGCTATAATTAAAAAGATAGGGACAGTACAATTATGGTGAGTATACATCTTTTTTTAAATAAAGTGTTGTCTTAGGAATCAAATGTTATAACAGCCACTACAGACTAACAGACACGATTATTAAAAACATTACGTAAAATATGTGTCTAAATGCTCAACTTGGGAAAAGCTTATAGCCGAGTATTTGGATAGCAAAGTTTGACTAAAAATAATCAAATAAAGTTCGACAATTTTCAATATAGACTGTCTTCCGATATGTTTTATTTTTAACTGAGGTTGAGTTTGAAGCAGATATTAATCAATTTAATAAAGTATCATAATATTGTGAAAGAGATGATAATGTACATAGTACCATAGGAAAAGGGTTATTTACCAATTTTTTGGCGAACAAAATAAATTAACAATGTCGCATTATCTTGAAAAATCAACTAAACTCTCTTGTACAGTCCTAACTATCGTTTTGTCTTCCTCGGCTTTAAGACCCTTTCCAACTTGCGTTGGTACCGGAAACTTGCTGCCAAATGAACTGAAAGTATAGCCCGCGGAGGAACGGTGCTACTTGCCCAGTAGCCTTTTCATGCGAAGTTCGGAATGGGATTACTTGTCGGGTTTACTTCATAGCTTTTAACTCAGTTTAAGCCTAAAAAGAAATAGATACTGTAAGAAACATGTCAATTATCACATAATTACAGCCGCGTTTCTCGCCCACGTACTGGATAGTAGATTTGCCACAAATTTCTTCTACTATCATTTCGTTGAGGGATGGTAAACCTTTAGTGTGAAAAAATAAAAACAGATACTTTTAAACAAGTCTCAAATTACAGGGAGGAGATGGCAAGTCTACGAGCATAGTCTATAGCATAGACTCACAGGCAATTAGATGCATATGACAGGAGTCAATTAACAAAATTAAAGATCATAATAATTGTTAAGAGAATTAAATAGTCCAATTCCTTCAGATTCTCTGTTTATTGCTCTAGTCGTTATTAATGTGTTCCGCGTGA